ATATATATATATATATATATATATATATATATATATATATATATATATATATATATATATATATAATATTACTATATAATAAATGTATTTGGTAATATTGCTTTATAATAAATGTAAATTGCTGAACAAATGACGATGTGTGAATATAATACGAATAACAAGAATTGGCTTCCGCAAAATTAAATATTAAAATAAATACTAAAACTATTTAAAATTATATTTTATTGGTAGTCCATAATTAGAATATTAGAATATTTATTGTATACGAACTTCGATTCTTCAAATATTTATTTATATAGTCGTATAATAGTATATAAACTGTAATTCATCTTCATTTTAAAAATCACCGATAATAACGTTTTGCCATATAATTTCAACTAAGTACAATTACTATGCATATACGTGTGTGTGCGCGCGCGTGCGTTACAATAAAGTATTTAATTTGTTTCGTTATATTTGCATTGAAAGATAAAATATTACGTAAATCACTATTTTGTAGTTAAAGAAAAATACATGGTTACTTATTTAAGCATTCGTATATCAGCTAAACAAAAAATTATTTTCAAAAAATAAGGATAGAAACTAAATTTTTGTATTAAAACTGATAAAATGAAATTACAACTTAAAAAATACTACACTTAAAAAATAATTGCGAGCATTAAAATTTATAATACACGCAGTTTCATAACTTTCATTATTCAATTTGCCATTATAGCTAATTATTAAATATAAAATATTATTATAAAGAAAAATTAATTAAACAGAGTACGAACTGTATAGAATTTTATTATAGTAATTAGGCATTGAAAATTAGAATTTTTTTTCACGTAGCATAGTAGAGATACGTTCATCGACAATTTCCATTTTTGTCATTAAAAATATCAAATTTTATGTATTATCATATTTTTATTAAAGAAGTAAAGAGAGAAAAACGTGCATAGTTAGTATTTAATTTTTTTTTTTTTTTTTTTTTTTTTTTTTTTTATAAAAATCGCTTTTAATTAAATTCGCCATAAATTAAGTACGATGATAAATCGTTATTTATTGAAATTTTCGTTTTCAATATAATATTTAATTATTAAATAATTAAATAAAAAATCATTACATTTTACAGTAATAATACATGTTAATTATAAACTAAGATAAATTTTTTTTAGTATATATATACTTGAAAATTAAACAATAACAATGTTGTCTCATTGGAATGAGACTTGGAAGAATCTAATCGAAATGTGCACAATAATAGAAATGATATTTTGAAATAAACGAGAATAAATTCTGAACATTAATTTTTGCAGAAGCCATTAATTATCTTTTTTCGTTTTACATTATTGTTTTTTTCTTCTTCTTTTTTTTTCTTTCTTCTTATTACATTTGAATATACTTGCATTAGTGAGATTGTGTTATAATTTCGGTTAATAGTATATAAATGACTTTTATCTAGATTCTAAAGGAACGTCTTGGGCGCTGCAATATTGTTTGAGTGTTTAAAAGCTTTTGACATTTTATCCCCAAATAAGTGAATATTTTAACACTTTATGCATGTTTCATTTAAAAGTACATTCGTTCCTGCATGCCGCAAAGAATTAATGTATAATTAAAGATTCCCTTTCTCGTCAACTCATTACTGAAGATAAAAATGCATAATCTAAATCTTTTTAATAAATACTGCATTCGTGGAAATAATAATGTTAAGAAGTCTAAAGTGAAATTTAAAGATAATTATATTAAAGTCACATTTATAATTAAAAAATATACGATATTTAGATGCGTAATGAAACTATACAAGACAATAGAAATTTTGCATATATTTAAATATAAAAATAAAAGACAATTTTTCTTATACAAATGTCTTTTATGTTTATAGTTTTTCTAAAGTTCAATTAAAATTATTTATACCATATATGGTTATTTTAAGAAGGCGTGCGACATTTTATGATTTCTAATTGTTTTACATTGTGCTTAATTAAAATATTTCATGCACTGTTCCTTCTTAATATAAAATACTTAATTGAGCAGTTATTAATATTGATAAAAATTTTATATTCGTATTATATAATTATCACAAGAATTTACTTGAATATAAGCAATAATATGAATCGTATTAAACGAATTATTCATTTAATAAAAGAGAGATATTTGAATTTTTGGCTTGTGAATAATTTGGATTAAAAGTATCATATTAATTAAATATAAATTATGGAAGTATTTTTTAATTTCATAAATTTGTCAATTATCTTGTTAGAAACAATAAAAAGTCTTATGAATTTATTCATTATACGAAAATACAATTTGTCGGCTTTTATTTTAAAATGAACCTACTGCGATGTGTATTAGCGCGAGCAAAAGAAGAGAGATAAGAGCGGTGCCTTAATATATGTATATTTCGTTCGTTTTTTGTTCTTGTATTTGTTCTTCTTTCAAATAATCAGAGAGTATAAAAGAAAGCGAGTGGTGGAGGGATACGATGAAGACACATACCAATGCCTCATATTAGTAGGCCGGAATTTAATTCTTCTTTCGACTGTGTTTTCTTTTAATCAGGCTACATTCCAAATGCAAAGTGTCCACCCGAATCATTTATGATGTTTGAGCCAAAACAACGCGAGCGATTATCAATGTACATTTATTTATATTTATATGTATAATATAGATCTGCGCATCGCTCTATTCTCTCATTCTTCTCTACCAATTCCCAGTTTATTATTTGGTTCTTTATGGTACAGTGTCGGGCTATTGTTGGCGCAAAAAGATTGCAGGAGATCAATCTTCGATTCAGCAGAGCGGCTCTGCAATTTCATAATTTAAAATTTACTTATTAAGTTAGCATTTATTTTAATTTAACGGTATCTGTATAGAGACGTTGCGTATTTATTTACAAAGGACTTTCGAAAAAATTGAAAACGATGTCAGTGTCGTTTTACATTTGGCTGCTTTTACTTTGCTTTGTATCTTTCATCCTTCGGAGTGGGAAAGAGAAATGGAGAAGAGGGCCACTTAACTAAATCACAGATAGATCCCGCTAATTCGAATGGATCGAATAGTTTTTCATTTTTCCGTTGATTTTCTTTTGAAAATTATTACAGCTCTACCATAATTTTATGAAATCTATATTTGATTCTTTTCTAGGCTCGTGGCCCTCGATAAAATTTCTTTTTAAACATTTCTTTTATTCACGTATTTAAATCATTTTTAATAGTCTCTTTTAAATATTTTGATCGCTTTACATTTAAATTGCCGCGCTAAATCTTATTTGCCGTATTATCGTCAAATAACGCCAGAAATATATAGATAAAACTTTTACAAATTTTTCCTGATTCGAGCTTTCGCTTATCATAGTTTTTAATGTTTAATCTTATATTAAGAAGAAACGATATATCGGCGTAGGAAGAATGTACGTGAAAGGCTCGCGCACGAATGGCACGGTGAAAGAATATAAGATAGTGCTTTCTTTTTTTCTATTTTCTTTTTTCTTTATTCTTTTTTCCTTTTTCTTTCTATCGTTGGGAAAAAAAACGTGGGAAAAGTGTCCCGACGAATAAGAAAAGTTACGAACATTATGAATATCGTCGATTGCTAATCACGACTTTATCAATTGAAAGTTAAAATTCAAAAACTGCAATTCAAATGCATGCAATCTACTAGTACTTGTATTTATTTAATTATTTATTTATTTTTTTTTTTGTTTGTTTTTGTTTTGTTTTGTATTATTACATTATTTGTCTAACCTGTGTTAAACTGTTGCTAAATTACTCGACTATTGAAAAAGGTTGCTCCAAAAATTGTTACGACACATGCTCGAATTATTAAGACTCAAAGGATTGACTCTGTTACTGTATCTTCTTTTCTCTCTCTCTCTCTCTCTCTCTCTCTCTCTCTCTCTCTCTCTCTCTCTCTCTTTGTACAGCTAGATTTTAAGCAGTGAGTTTAAAATTGATATATTTTCGAAATGAATTCGTTGACTATTTGTAAAGAGATACGAACATTCGAGAGCGACGACATTTTTTGAAGAAACTCTTTGAAAAGTGTAATGCGAACGTCTTCATACACGGCATTACATTCATATAGGAATTTAAGAAAATTTGTCTCAGTTACCATAGTTTTAAATTTCATATTTAATACTAATGATAAAACTATGAAACAAAATAACTAGATTTGTATTTACGTCGGTACATATTCTGTTGGATTATGGGATAAAGATATAATAATACTATTCAAGTAAAATATTGGGCGGATACGACTACTTCTCTAAGGCCTCGCTCATGAATCATTATTAAATGTAATATTCTTTTTAATTATTTATCTGATTTAGTCCCATGCATGAAAATCATCAAAGCTCTTTGCACGACGTAAGAAATAGAAACGAGACTGAGCATATTTCAGCTTTGCCTTAAATAAAAATGTAAGCCCTATTATCATAGCGCAGTCGATTAAATTCCTTTTCTATATTATTATTATTATTATTATTATTATTATTATTATTATTATTATTATTATAATAATTATTATTATTATTATTGATTATTGATTATTATGATTATTGATTATTGTGATTATTATGATTATTGATTATTATTCTTATTGTTGTTGTTTGTGGTTGTTTTTGTTTTTTGGTGTGTTTCTATTATTTTCTATTGTGCAGCAAGCTTTAATAACTTATTCATTCGGTTGTTTATTGAATGTCATGGCTCTGCAACCAATCAAATGCCTAAATCATTGTAAACTGTAATGACGATCATGTTTATCCCATCAATTCCAACCTACTTATCCCTGAAACAATTCCACTTCTTAATAAATCTCACAATTTTTCAGTCTAATAGTTTTTCCAAGAATCTGTCTCATAAAAAAGCGTACTTCCACGTATTGTGGGTACACGTGGATTCCATTTTGAATAAATCGATAAAATCCCTTTTAATTTCTGCCCGTTAAAACATTCTTTCGATATTTACTATTCTTTCGGATACATGTCTTTTTTTCTTTTTTTTTTTTATTTTTTTTTTTTTATTTCTTGATCAACACAAATACTTTTATATTAAATTTTACGCATTTCATTATAAGTGGTCATTCTACACCGTTAGCTTGAGTTTCGTATCTCCCTTTTTACTTCGCCGCCATTATTACTTCATGATATATTCCAATTACAATTAATAGAACGAAATAAGTTGCTTGATTACGTTTAAACAAATTGGGCATTAAAAATCGTTGTTTCGATGTGATTGTTAAATTGTTCGAACGAAGAGGTTGAATAGTAGTTCCGTTAAACGAATGCGTAGCTGTCGGAAGACTTAAATTCTTTCAAAGGGAGTCTGAGACTCTGCAGAACCAACGGCTTTAGCGTAGAGATTAAAATACCAACAAGAAAATATCTTACATATTCATTTCGTAGTTGCTCTATTATCAGATAATTCTATTTAAAGAGTCTAAGAAAAGATTTTTATCTCGCTTATCCCTATACTGTTATATAGCACTTTGTCACGTAAGTGAATAATATATTTGATTCATAATAAATGAATCGATTATGAGAATTTCTTAGAGTTCGCTTTCTACCTGTATTCCCGTCCGTATCAACCATCGTTCGGTTGTTCTATCAACTGAACCCGATCTTATCAATCTGCTTTCGATTTCGCAAAGCTGCAATACAGTTGCCTTTTAACTTATACTATCAGATTTTTCTACAAGTAACTCTAGAAATCCGATATTGCTTATTTGATGTTTCGCAGATATAAAGCCCGTCACAAGGCTGAGCATAATTCCATCCTAGTATTTATCTCTTAACTACAATAGGTACTTCGAGTTTGGAGTGTAAATATTGCATTGGACACTCCCTTCAGAATAATACATTGTCAGTGATGGCGTGGCAATAAAACGTTTTTCGTCTTTATCGGAAATCAAGGTGGATGTAGTTCAAAGTGGTGGGCTCGAGCCGTCAGTATAGCCTTAAGTTCGGATTCCAATTGATTTTTCGCGCGTTTACTCACAGACTGGCCATCAACGACCGGTTGGACAGCAAATTTCGACGATGACTCGTCGAATTTGCTACTTTCGCTGATATCCTTGTTTTCGTGACTTCTAGCTCGTCTGATTGGCTTTTTCAACGATATAACATCGTCTTGGCTATTCTGATGCTCGTCATCGATCGGCTGCGGCTCTTGATTTAGGACGAAAATAGAAGATGAGCCAATGGCTTCCGACGATCTAGATATATCGATTCCGGAACCCCATTCACGAGATAATTTGCGACCTATCACCGAAGTCAATTCGCTATTCGGGGAAAGTAGAGGGCTTCTGGATACCTATGGATTAGAAAGAAATTCGATAGAGAGACAAAAAAAAAAAAAAATAAATAAATAAATAAATATCTACAAATACTTATTAATTTATCTATATAAATCACTTCACATAACTCCACGTGTATACAAATGTATGCGCACGCACGCGCGCATACAACAAATTCAATGTAATAAATTATATTATATATAAGTAATGAAAAAATAAATTGCTTTCGAAATGCTAATCTTATTAAAATTTTACTAAATAAAAAGTATTTAATTCATTTGTGCTCATCCAAGGATTAGTAATAATCTAACAATTTAATAATACTTTATGAATATTTCACTTTTTAACGAGAATCATTTTTAATCAAATAAAATTTAAGTAAAAATAAAAATATGATTTTTTTGTTTTGTTTTTTGTTTTTTACACGTAGCTCAATTTATGCTTAAATATTGCGTTTTTAGCGATTTGACGAAACTCTTTTGTAAGTGTTTCAGCAATGACAAACGTTAGAATGAAAAAATATAAAATTCATAAAGACTTGATGATACAATCGACTAAAGTATCTATGTAAAATCAATGTAAAAGCTTGAATTATTGCGAGCAAAGTGAAGTGAGCCAGAAATTCAAAATTTGCCCTCAATACGCGTGTAAATGTCCTCTATTACTTGATAATGCTGTCCAGAGGAGGAATGCGGTGTTCGGAGAGTAGCAAAGACGGGGAACGATTGTCCCCTTTTGGCAGGGCTTCGCTGTTTCGGCGTCGGGACGCCTCCCATCGACTCTCCTCTTTGATGGGCGCGCAAGTTCGTGCTTCCCCCGAAGTTCGAGGATAATTTTGGCGTCGGCGGAGGCGATTCCCCGTTACCGTGGCTGAGCCTCCTGCCGACCATCTCCATGGGACTGCGGGCGCGCAGATTCGAGTTGCTCAGAGTGAACTCGAGAGGTTTCATTGACTGGCTGCACGTCGCGGCATCGAGGCCTATCGGTGCAAGGCCAAGTCGCGAGCCCGCGAGATTCGAGGAGCTGTGGCTCTTCTCGCTACGTTGCCGAGGACTCGTCGTGCCTCGGAGCATCATCGGACTTTTGCTTCTGCTCCTGCTGGGTTCGCGAACCTTGTCCTTCGTAAGGTCTTTCTTGATTGCGCCCTTGGACTCGTCGGGCCCCGAGTCCACTTTCTCCTCTTGTTGGACTCTAAAAAAAATTCAACCCCATATTTCTTGACTTGATTTAACAATGAGCTTAAGCACTATACGTCATGCATCCCATCGACAATAAAATTGCATACGCTTGCTTATAAGAATAACAAATGGTGCCTACGATATATGTTGCGTATATTATTATGTAATTAATTATGTAATTAACAAGGTCGGGGGCGTCATTGATTTTATGTATTTATATATGTAGTTTTTTTTTTTTTTTTTAATTTATTGTAATTTAATGAGGTATAATAACGAAGAGGTGAATAGAATTTATTATACGAATACGTAATTATTGGGATATACTTATCAGAGAGAAACTTTTTCACTTTAAACCACTGACCTTCGAATTTCCTGGATCATCTCAAAGAATTGCGCTTTGCTTTTACGTCGGCGACGCTGTTCGTGTTCCTTCTGGAACAAATCAGACTTACGTACTTTGTTCAAATGCTACGCTTAATAATATTACACGTTAATAATAATTACAATTTAATCGGCAATTTAATTGTGCTTTTGTAGGGTTGAACATTATAAGCAAAGGCGATAAATGATAGGACACTAAATGCACATGCGAACGCAGACAGAATAAAAAAAAAAATTTCAAAAAATTGATTAAATATGATGATAAAAGCATTTTACCGCTATAATTAAAGAAGCAAAGACAAACAAACAAAAAAACAACAAAAAAAGAATTAAATCATTGTTTGGAATTTCATAAGTATGATGTCTCATTCGATGCTATTGAAAATTTACCAATATACTATTAGTGCATTTATAATAATTTTTTTATAATTATTACTAAATATGCATATCTTGTTAAAGTATTGAAATCCACAATAAACATAGTTTAGTAATCATTAATTTATCGATTAATTCATCGAAAAGTTTATCCAAATATTTAAGCGCTCTGTAAGATCTGATAAATGGATTGCATAATAAATTTTATTAAGCTAGGAATAATATTTTCCGAATCTAATAATCTCTAACTGTTGAAATCTTGCGTAAAACTTTTTAATTTACTTAGCATTATTTTCCATCAATGTTATAGATGACAATAGAGTGTTATAAAAAAATATTTGTCACGTAAATAATATTTGCATTTTAAGTCAACAATGTTTTTTTTTTTTTTTTTTTTTTTTTTTTTTTTTTTTTTTTTTTTTTTTTTTTTTTGATAAAAATTCATTTGATCGAATTAATAATAATCAAATTTTCATTTTAATTAATGATGGAAAATCCAGATACACGCATTTAGAGGTAAAATTACTCGTTAAAGAACTAAATGCATACAATCTATAGTATTTACCGCCTCGTATTATAAATAAGCTAATGTCTACTTTTATTTATTAATGTATTAATTTGTTAATCGTTGTGTCAATAGGCATTGCGTCAATCGATCGTCTGGCATTAAATATAAATTTGCCATTAATCGGGAAGGTTAAAGGTAAAATTTTACGGTCTGCAGAATATTTAGCAATGGCGAGAGACAAAAATGATAAATATTGGACAAAGTGCAAAGCCAAATCGAAAGTCCACCCGCTTACCCTTTTCACGCTTTTCTGGAAGAGCGAGGTGATCTGTCCTTGTCTAACAGTGTGCACTAGCTCGCGCGCTGCATGATGCGGCGACACCAATTCCACGCAATTAATGAACCTGTACAATTTTTGCGAGAAGAACATGACGTTACGACTGCGCCACATAGAATTCTTCGGTCTCTGGCGCAGCTTCGGCAAACTGTATTTATAGAATATGTGCTCGCCAACGAGGATTACAACGCCGAGGCTCATGCCAAGCCCAAGGAGACAGAAGACTCCAGCTACCGAAGAGACACCCAGCGGTCGGGGTTGACCCGCTTGTCGGGGTTGACCGTCGTAACCAAAGCTCGAAGCCGCTCCACGCATACAAGGCAAACCACCGTACCTGCATTTGACACATTAAGGCTTCTGTTTGCTTAATATGTTAAGCTTTGTAATCGTCTACTTCCATACCAGACAAACTTTGAAGTATCATTAAATAGTTAAGTATGCATAAGGATATTAGTGTAGGATATAGGAATTAACATAGACGTGAAAATTTTTTTTCATCTTTTTTCCTTATATATTGGAAATTTTTAACTTTACACTTACATTGGCAGTCGCTAAATATTTTAACGTATAAGCCAAGATCTGTCTTGTATTATCTAATAAATTTTATAAATATCGATTGGTTAAAGTATTTTTTTACCTGACAGTCTTTGCCAAATAATAATTGAGACTTGTTTTTGGCAGACAAATTGTGACAAATTGTAACAAATTTTGTGAATGTGATTATTATTTTCAATGGTATGGCCATTACTTGGCTATATAAATAATACTTAAATATCCTATTAGTTATGCAATATTTGAAATTCTAGGTAAATTTTTCACAGTAAAAAAAAAAAAAAAAAAATTCGTTATAAGAAAAGAAAAAAACTAGTCGATGATGAAAGGAAAAATTTTTTAATTTGTTGGAAGCTTAGTCGATGAAAGACTCACCATTTTTCTTGTAAAATGTCGAGAAGTCCTGTACTAGTATAATTGGCAATTATTTGAGAGATACTCTCCTTTAACGGATGACCCTTCGACAATGCAACAGCGTAAGTATCTTCCTTAATAGAGTCACCGATTTTTTCCAGTCTGCAGCCATTATCGGTCGCCCGATAATAATCGATAATTGGAGTATCGGCTATAAGAATATCCAGACTGCCATTAAGTAATCTGTCAACACCGTCAGCGACATCCAAGACGGAATACCGGGACATGTATGACCACAATCGGGGATTCGCTTGCTGGACATAATATTCAGCTGCCGATGCCTTTGGCGCCGCGACTTTCTGCAGCAAAAGCTACGATTGCGAGTTGCGCGTTATGTATCGAAGCTTAACATAACGAGGGCAAGAGAAAGCGAGTGAAAATTAAAAAAAATATTTTACGAGTATATAGATATTATTTAGACGAGTAGTAAGACGATTACTCGTACATAGTTAATATATCCTTATACGTATTTAATACAAAATGCATCAACATATCCACAAACTAAATTATTAACATTATTTACAATGTGAAATTTTCAATTAAGCCTGATAAGACGCTATTAGAATTATTAGTTGAAATTGTAATTTGAAAGGAGACAGGTTAGTGGACTTACGCTTCGGTCGTAATAATTATTGACGGTGGAGTAAAAGAAGAGTCCGGCAATAAGTGCGGCTATGTTAGCCGTGTAGGAGGCGACGAAAATGACGGAGAATCCACCCCAGACATTGATGAGAAACTTATTTGGCCAGGACTTGGGCGCTTTGAAAGCCACGAGATGACCGCAGAGCAGACCCCACATGACCCATAGGGCCGACGCTATGGAGAAGTTCTTGCTGCGCTGGCGCCCCCAAGGGTTCAACCCAAAAGGGCTGAACCACTCGTAGGCAGCGACGAACATCGCGGTGATGTTGAGGGACGTGAATACGGCTATCCAGAGCTCGGGACTAAAAGGCTGGAGGAAGGCTAACAAGGAAAAGCTGTTGCGCTCCTTAGGCGCTATGAGGAAGCTCACGCTGCTGAAGTAGTAAGGGGTCGTGAAGTCGACGACTTGGGAACGATGCGAGTAGACGCTCATCGGTGCGAACGCCAGCTGAGCCTTGCCGGACAGCAGTTCACCGACGACGCCGTTCCACGTGCCGTTCCGACCTCGTCTGCGCCCGAACAAACCGTCTTTCACCACATGAAGGTCGAAGCGGAACTCCAGGTCCTGCAATTGTTCGGAACGAGCCTTGACCTACCACACCTTTATCACGCGATAAATGGTTGTTAGGTTAGCCAACAATATTTCCAATCGATCCAGCAGACGGATCTTTTTGGATCCATTGCACTGGCAAGCAAGCTCATTAAACCAATAATAAATCATTTATTTCAAATTTCATTTATAACTATCTTTTATCTTTATAATTGTAACGAATTAAACTCGAGAGATTTCCTATATTGAAGAAAATGTCCTGAGAATAGTTTGTGACCTTAAAAACACCTTTTTTATTTTTGTTAAATGTATCGATATTATATATATATATATATATATATATACGATTGATAAAACAATTGATAAAAGAAAACAGATTAACTTATATATACGCGCGCGCGTATATGTTAAGCCACTACACCGTTTAATGGAGATGTAATAATATTTTCATAAAGGATATATAGACCTGGGAGACTTGATAAAGTAAATCCATTGAGTAGCCGTAGCAGCACTTGATGGTATTTCCGTGTTTGCACGTCAGTCCTCGCAAGCAAGTGCCTTCTTGGAGGTTCGTGACCATCGCGAAGGGAGGCGCCAGGGCTGTAACGATTTTGTAGGACGGCATACCGATCTTTTCGCGGCCCTCCTCGATGTACGCTGGAACAATTCCACCGCCTGGCCAGATTATCGTATCCAAACGAACCTCACGGCCTCCCCTTATGGAGCCTACTTTTGTCCACCTGGTGAATGTGCATGGAGATTTGCAACACAAATATTAACGCGGGACTCGAGGCATTCAACGACGGCAAAAAATAATGCACCCATAGACGAAGAATGTGCACGACGGTCTTTATTGCCGTACTAATAAAATTAAATATTTCTTAGTATTTGCGTATTATTATTATGCGTATAACACAGCTGCAATCATTTATATGATTGAATACAAAGTCACGAGATATTGGAATGATTTTAGAATGAGATTTTAATAAGATTGATAATGCATAAAAAATTCAATTTAACGGATAGGAGTGTTAGATGTTGACATACCGCGTATAAGCGAAAGCCCCGTGAAAATTTACATTAAAACCAGTACGGAAAACTTTTGCGACGTATGTTGATAGAGAAGATTATAAAATATTATAAAAGAGGGATGATGAATGTGCAATATCTTTAGTTTCCCATAATAAATTGAAAACTAACATAGCAAGATACTTTATCATTAATAACACAGATTGCTACAATACATTATTTATAATTTTTCATAAGATTATCTAATATATGCTCGAACAAATTTTAGATGAATCATCGATATAAATTGGATTTGATCCATTTAAAGTAGCACGTATAAACATAATATATTTGATACTAAATATTATGTCGATTTATTTCATATATATTGAATGAATTCTAGTTGTTAAAATAGCAAAAAATTTATAAAATGTAAAGGTCCTTCTGTTTCGTATTAAAATTATGAATTAACAATACGTTCAAATATATATGATATCCTCGTAAATCTCTACATAATAATTAAAATTATTTTGTATAAATTGCATGGTTACGTTAATCAGTATATAATAACAAACATTAGGAAATAGATATTATTTTCAATTATAATTTCACTAACGATTACGACAATTTAACTATGATTAAATTAATGTTTGCGCTATATATCACGTAGGGAAGCTTAATGTTATTTACGTAAGAAATTTCTATAAACAAAATGAGTAATCATTGCAACATATTATTAAATTAACAATACCGGATGAAACTTAAGAGAATATGTTATAGTTTGCGCTCTTTATAATAAGTTTATAAAAAGTATCGTAAGGATGATAGGGGTGAATAGTAAAATAATATCAATAAAATATAATTATATAATACGACCATATTGAAATGATAATTATTTAAGCTAATTCATCGAAACAAATAAATGAATTACGTAAGTATGAAATGTATGTATGTTTAATAAACTAAAAATATACCATCAAATTTATGAAGAATTATGTCAGTTTAAAAACTATTACATAACTCTCTCTCTCTCTCTCTCTCTCTCTATCTATCTATCTCTCTCTCTCTCTCTCTCTCTGTGTGCGTGTGTGTGTATTAACGAGTAATTTTGTTGTGTGCTTTAATAATTATGACTCTAATTTTAGTTCTATATTGAAATAATAATACTATACAAGTGCTTTTCATATTTATGAAAACAAGAGGGGATCCGTTAAGAAAACACGAAGAACAATAGTGCAGCTTTTCATTATAGCAAACATTTCATCTTACAGCTGTATTGTTTGAATCCACTGGGATTTTATATTAAAACTTGATTGTGTCATTTTTAATTTCAAGAATAAACAGCAGCGTAAAGATGTCTAACATTAAATACAAAGATAAATTACACGATTAGAAAGCTATTGGAGGACTTTTTTTATTTACATTGACATAACTTTTATATATTCAATTAGATAAAGGTGATTTTTAATTGTTTTTAGTTGTTTTTAAATTATCAATACACAATTTAAAATAGAAAACAAATAGTAATATCAATAATTCCTTTAATAAGGACTACAATTTAAAAGTATAACATATATTATGTGTGCTTGCATATTGTTAAATGAAATTTTTAAATGAAATATGCAAAATTGAAAGACAAGAGAAGTAGAAATTTAAACAATAGTAATATTTTATTAAAAGTGTGCAAAAGTCTTCTATAAAAAGTCTTTGTTAAAATTTACAAATTAAGGATAAATCATTATGAATTATTTATTGCGTTATATGATCAAGTAATTAAAAAGGAATCTGAAAATTAGAAATTCAATTAATATATTGAAATTGAAAATTTATTGTCGGCTTAATGGTTAATAATATTAAACAAATGGATAAGTCTCAATTTTTCTCGAATTCTATGTTCTAAGTGGGACCGAATATCATTCAAGCATTAACTTTAAATTTAAAAAAATCTTCGAAAATTCTTTCGATATTTTATATTTAGTCAAAGTATAATTGTACGACAATAAAACATATCTTTTATAAGCTATTATGTCTATTGTACACTTCCAATAGAAAATCGATGGTACATTTTTTAAAGGCACTTTTGCTTCTCGAGACTCTGATCTTCAGGACGTATGTCACTTTAAAAAAAAAAAATTCAACCCCTTCAACGGGAGTATCCATTTTCTTTTTTTTTTTTTTTATACAAATATTGGGCAACGCTAATTACAGAGTAAAGTCTAAAGTTTAAAAGAATAAAATGAACGACCGAATTATTATGTAAATAATTAGAAATCCGTTTGTCGCTGATCTCTTTGCACAATTTCTTTTCTGGCGCATTGAAATATAATAACAAACTCAAAGTCAAGAACTTGGTACGTTGGTAATTTTTTTTTTTTTTTATACAAATATTGGGCAACGCTAATTACAGAGTAAAGTCTAAAGTTTAAAAGAATAAAATGAACGACCGAATTATTATGTAAATAATTAGAAATCCGTTTGTCGCTGATCTCTTTGCACAATTTCTTTTCTGGCGCATTGAAATATAATAACAAACTCAAAGTCAAGAACTTGGTACGTTGGTAATTTGGTAAATTTAAATTTCACCAGAAGCACCGATGTCATTATCAAGATAATTGCAGTGATTTTCCAGTCGGATTGCATAAAACATCCAAGTGCATAAAACAAAAATGTTTCTTCAGATATTGCGCACGTACATCTTTCCCTTTAGAATATTCCCAATTTTTTTTATATGTCCCGAAAGATAAAAGCCTTTCAAAGCTGAAAATTGGCAGATTCGCGAGAAATTGAATTTCGTACAATGGCAGTGCAGTGAAAGTAGCTGTAATTCACAATACGAGAGACCAAAGCGTGAAAAAAAATTTAACAGCGTGACGCTACGTGACAGCTCCGCTCACCTCAGCTGCGTCTTGTTCCCAGGGAAGAGGATGCCCTGGAGGTTGAGCAGGTGGAACTCGGCCTTGTCCCTCGATATCTGCTTGGCGGACTCCCTGAGCTTCGCGGTAAGGCTGTAGGAGAGGTTGGCCCTGACCTCGGCCACACCCGGATGCCTGGGCCGCGGCGGCTCTCCAAGACACTCCGGGACGAAGACCTCCTTGAGCTGTGCCTCGCTGATCCGCCCTAAACGTGGCCTCGACTCGAGCATCGTCCTGTCCAGCGCCTGAGCCGCCTCGCGTATCATCCGTGCGAGGATGGTGTCGGGCCCGCCGCCGACCCGCCCATTCACCGGCCGCAGCGCAAGCATGCCCAGGGGCATGAAGCTCTTGGAATTGACATTTTTATCGTAGGTGCGCGTATCCTCGTCGTCCTCGAGGGAGCCGCCGTAAGCCGAGCGACTCGGCGTCTCTCGCTTCTTCGGCTTACGATCTGCAGCCACGAAGGGGTTGTTCGGTGACAGGGGCGACCAGGAGGAGGAGCCGAAGCTTCGAGTGCGCAACCGGAGCGTTCATTTACTTTCTCCAATGTGCATTTACAATTTTCAAGCGACCTTAGACTACGGACCTATCGAGCGGAGCTTCCAAATTCAAAAGCAAGTATTCATGTTGCTCGGGTCTAATGTGCCCGCAACACCTTTATTGCTCCGTTATTAATGCGGTTTTTATGCACATATTATGAAACTAGAAACCCTTTAGAAAATCAAGAATACATTTTCCAGGCTTAGTAGCTATCTAGGAAATGGACTATTTTTTCATTTATTTTCCTTGAAAATTACTTGGAAAAATTGTTCGAGATGAAAGAAGGATGTCGGTGTAAACTGATAATAAAAATGTTAAAAGTGGCTTCTTTTAGAAGAAGCATAAATTTAAAAATGTAAAAAATTACTTAATAGATTCCGGTAATCTTTTATCTGCATGTAAAATACTAATGAATAATAACACTTAATTCATGTGTTCTTCACGTCATAATTCAAGTGCATTTCAACATTTATATTCATTAGCAATATTTGCACAGATATTTTTCAAATAGCACGAAATACATGTGAATTTTATCTATTGCTAAATATATAAGATAAATGTAAATGTTGCAAGGTGGGCTGTAAAAAGTTTGTTTTTTTTTTACACCATTTTATCTTTCGTAATAAAATCAAGAAACTCATATAAAACTGTCGCAACGGGCATTAATGACAACGAAAGTTTTAAAAAAAAGATTTAAGAATAATTTCAACTTTTGTTCCAATCTGTAATAATAGAATTATAACAAACTATATTCTTAATAGAAAAAAAGAATGCATCTCCTAATGCACTTAAATATTGTTCTGAGAAAAAGCACGAAATAAATTAATAAATCAGAAAATCATTATTTATTCGATGCAAACTCAACGCAACACAGCTTTAACTATTTAATGGCTTTCTGTAATATGTTATTTCCATAATACCGCCATTGTAAAGATAAAAATTTAATTAGTAATAAGATTTATTTTAACGTTATATTTTAATTAATAATATAATAATAATAATAATGAAAAAGACTTGATAAGTTTGTTATTCACAGCATATAAAATAAAACTCTTATATATAATCCTTTGTCCGTTACATAATCCTCCTACTTTATTTGTAAGTTAATCCAATTTCCGATGTTATAAAATTCTCTGATATATTAAGTTAATACGTTGCAATATACATTTAAAGTAATTGTAAGATTGAGTATGTTTTAATAAAAGCAAAAATAAAACCCGTAAAATTATTCAGTTAAAAAAAAAAATTAATATATTAATACAATATTTCAATATAGTTGATAATGTTATTATTATTATTTCTTTTGTTATATTCAATAGAAATTTATAGTAGTAAATAAATATTTAGATTCTAATTCCAATCTAATATAATTTTAATTATGGAGATAAAATAAAAATTTAATGATGAATATGAAAGATTAAAATATACATGCATGTACGTATAAATTATAATAATGAAGTTGGATTGTAAGCATGTATATGTGTTATTTATATCATGAATAAAACATTGTCATATAAACAACATATTAGTTCTTGATAGTTTATATTATCTAATAATGAGAGTAAAGAAGTGAATTATTTATTGAACCGTTGGAATTAAATTTAATGCAAATTTTATATAAAACAGTCAAAATTCTCTTAATAATAATATATTGTCAGGAAAGTTTCATACTAATTTAGTTTTAACATTTAAATGAATAAGATGCACAGCATTACATGATTTCTTAATTGCATGATTTACATAAATAAGAATAAGAACATTTTTTTTTTTACTAACATATCCCTAAGGAAAATAAACATTTTTATTCAATTTATTCAATTTTTTAGTCTAATATTTCTGAAAAATGAAAGATTCTTACTTTTTACTACTATCTAAACTATAATTCTGAAGAAATATAGTTGAATTTGCAGTAATAGTAAATTTATAGACTATCAAGTGAAATAATGTGTCGTAGAGAAATCCTAATGTTCGTAGATTTGGGATATGTCACTAAGAAATGATTTTAAAGCATTTGAAAATACAAATATATATATATATATATATATATATATATATATATATATATAATATAACTGTAAATAAATTGAAATGTAGTTGGTAACCTATAATAATTAAATTCATCCATGCATTATGAATTAGTAATTAAATAGTTCTGAATTCTATTGAATTAAATAAAGAAATCTTTTGTCGATATTTATGATAAAAATGAAAATTGCAATGTTAAATCAATTTTAAGTCGATAAAACGATCGATTTTTGTTATTTATTCTTATTATCTCCGAGTTTACCATTTACACGTTTATGTTATGTTACGTTTACAAATCACTAAAATCAAATAATCGGAATATATTTAATTTATTGTGATATTTTCCAGGAACTACTTCTTGTCGTTTATATTTGATATTTTCTAGGAAATGATTCTTTATGTTTACATGCATATATAAATATAATACAAAAAGAGACGGTTTACAATTGAGAATATAATATATACTCTTGTTAATACATATAATAATTGAATTTTAAATATAACGAATAGAATAATTTCAAAATAGATATTTAATTAGAAGTCGTGTGATGAATATAAAAAGAAAGAAGTTAACTAGTTACTAAATAATTTATATAAAAAAAAAAAAACAAAAAAAAACAAGAGTATTTAAAATAACCGCCAAATAAATATACAAATAACTAAATATTTTTGTATTTCATTTATGTTTATCGAGATAAGAATAATGTTCTTAAAATCGTGTCATTTAATTTAGAATTTTGATGAATTATAAACAAATCAATCGATATTTGAAATAACATATAAGTTGACAATGAGTTTATATTGTGTTTTATATATATTTTTTTTTATATATAAAATAGAGTGTATATTTTTAATTATCGTGATTAGTTTATTAAAACATGCTTTAATACACGAAATTAAGAAAAAAAAAAAATTATAATGCATTTGCATAACGTTAATTAATTTTTCTTGTAAAACTTTATGAAAGAATATTTACAAGATGCCGCTGCAAAACTTCGTGGAGGAGAAAATGATGTCAGTAATATAAATAGATAAATTTAGACTTTTATTATATTACAAAGTTTTTTATTGAACTCACGTACTTTAAATATAAAGATATATATGTGAGATAATACGAACAATTCCAGATGCAGCATTGCATAATGAAATAGTTCAGTTTTTAAACACAAAGCATTAAGAAAACATATGATTCACAAAATCTATTACCGATGTTATGGGTTAATTAACTTTTTTATTGTTGTTAGTAATACGTAAATTATTAATAGATAAAGATATAAGTTATATTAACATTGTCGATTAATCTATTTGAAAACATTTTAAAATAAAATAGAGATCAAGTATAATTTTAATGTAAAATTGTAATATGTATATTACTATTGGTAAGTATAAAACATGTTAAAGAAAATTATTAAATATGAACAAATAGTTGAAAAAATAATAATAGATGAAGATTTATATGTAATATACGTGCAATGTAGATAAAATATTAATTCTGGATATGTTAATAAAAAAGTTTAATAAACGCAGATTAGTTTTAACAAAGATCTAAGCTAAATGTTTGGAATTCGTAAATCATAAATATTATGTATTAAAAATAGCAATAATAATAATTAAAATTTCAATGTATCAAGAATGATTTCAAAACTAGTTTAATGGTATTAAAATGAATAATAGCATTAAATTATAATAAATATAATAAATATTTATTAGTATAAAAATACACAAATAATTTAGAAATTTAGAAATGTATATGAGGTGTCTCTACTATATAATATGTAATAATATGTGTATATATGCATATATACATATATGTACAAATTATGTTTATTGCAATAAAGTTTTTTTGAAATTTTGCAAATAGTATATTGAAGAATTATAAAGTAATTGTTTAATTTTTCCAATTTGAAAAACATGATTTTAACTAATTATTTAATAATAAGAAATATTTCTTTTAAATAGAATATTCAATTATTATATCTATTAATTAGGAATAGTTGAATTCGAGAAAATCTATTTATCTCGAGATATCTATTTAAACTTTGTAGTACTTGACTTAATTTAAATATAAATTGTGAGCTTAAAGGATAGAGAATAAGTAGAGGAAATCATTTATCAAAACTAGTCAAGATACATATGAACTAAATGAAAATTAATTGACCTTTGTAAATGGTAAATTTTGTATCTACTATTTTATACAAAAAATTTATTAACATTTTTTAAGTTATGTAGGTTGAATATGTTCGGTTTATGCAGATTTAGTTAGTTATTGTAAAATGAAAACATTGTAATATAATGAAAAGAGTGTTTGTTAACATCTAAAAATAAAATTTGTGTTTGAATATTTGATGAAGCATTTTATACTTTCTGATGTAGTACTACGTCATATAAATTATGTCTTAAAAGTAATTAATGTGTTATTGAATTGAAATTATGTATATTTAAAAATTGATTGAAACACAAAAATATTACGAGTACGCAACGCAATGTTCAGACGTATAAAATAATAAAGCATATAAAATCATTTCAAATTTGTATTGTTGATATATAATTTGAAAGTAAGAATTTCTAATTAAATGATATTAATGCAAATTGTTGATCTCGGAATCGTATATCTGTTGAATGATAAAAATAAATATTTTGCGAAGTTTTATTGAATTTCTTAATTCTTAATTCCTAGCTTGAAAAATATATTTGTTTAACCATTTCGTATTTATAGATAGTTTTTGGATTACATATATCGAAGATAGTAAAAATACGTATAAAATCATTTTTTTTTACTTCAAAATAATGAACATTGTAAAGCAGAAGAAGAATGGCTAGGTTTACAACTTTTCTTATCTCATTCTGCTTTATGCGTTTACATAAGATTTTTAAATATAAAATATTTATGGTATTTTATTTAGCGTAAGAAAAGAGTTGAACTAATTTGACGTATCCGTAACAAAGGATGTGTTATTTAAAATTTTATGAATTTGTATTAATAAGTAATTTTAAAAATAAAAATAATATTCTTACTTCAACCAAGTTAATTTCATAATTTTTCATACAAAGCCAAGGATTCTAGTAACTTCGAATAAGCGTTTATATATAATAATAAATAAATTGATTTTATGTTGAGGCATTATTTATGCAGGAGCTCATAATTGCTAATAATTGTAAAAGAACATTTAGAATTGTTAGATGCATAAAATGGCATCGGAACCCTTGAGCGACACTCGAAACTTCATTTATATAAGTTAAAATAATAATAAGTTTCTACTTATTATAATTAAGAATGATTGTAATGACAGTTTTGTGGCTTTGTAATAAATCCGAACGCACCTTTCGCGTCGCTCTGCCAATGATAATCCTGTAGTTTCTGTATTTCGCTAACTAGATTTGAGAGGGTATGAATACTGATGTCGCTGACCGGAGTGAGATTTGGTCCGAACTCCTGGTTGTCGGTCGGTGGCAAGTAATCGCTTGTCACGGAAACTCGGGCATTGTGTAGTACATGCGAGCCGATGATGTTCGGCTCGTTAGATCTGCCAATGGAAAATAATCAAGGATCACTGCGGGGTAGTCGTGGAACGATTATACCATTACATAAGGTATCCCGATAATTACTTTCGGTATCGGGAGCTCGAAATGCATACGCTTTCAAGAAATAGGGATTTATTGATATCGAACTGGATGCGTTGGAGAGATTAGGGCTGGAATAGGGTGGGGCGAGGGGAAAGGTTCGACGTACAATTCCTTTGTTTATGGACTAGATTGGACGATCATTGAAATATATGCAAGAGTAACGCGTGTAATTTCGAGTCTCTCTCTCTCTCTCTCTCTCTCTCTCTCTCTCTCTCTCTCCCTGTCCCTCTCCCACTCTCTTAACGTTTAATTATCTTGCTGGCTAATAATAAGGAATTACTGTATCTATACGTAAACAAATTATAATTGCTGAATAAGCATTGTTGGAATAGGGAGAAAGATAAGATATCAAATTCATTGTGTACAGTATTTGGTCAAAGTAAGAAATGACAATATTTTTCTTACGATTTTCGTAAATGCTATTGTTATTGTTATATCAAATAATAGAACGTTTAAAATCCTTTGAACAAACCTCTTAGGAATCGGGCTGATTTGAAATTGGTGAAATTTAATCTATAACAATTGTCCGCGATAAAATAAATTGGATTTAAAATTATATTTAAAAGTTATGTCTATCTTGTCCTCTATCTTGTCAATAGTTTTCGTAAAACGATGTATTCTCGAGGCTATATAAAGTTAAATAATAAAGTTAATTAGCTACGATTACAAGTTTGCGTTACACGACTTGACGTCAGAGCATTCATTTTGACAAATCTAATTATGATAGGGTAAAAGCGGTTGTTGCTAACTACCTTAGATTAATTGGCTATATAATTTGATTAACAAATATCGAGTAATAAATAAACATTGAATATATATATATATATATATATATATATATATATATATATGACATGTAGAGTAATAAATAAACATTGAAAGCTAATTTAAGTGGTTATATTTTCTAAAATTAAAAATTTAAGATAATTTAATGGACATTAATGCTTGGGCTTTCGTTGAAGCTACGAAGTTTAATTATTTGAAAAATTGTGTATAAACATTCCTATATTACACGAAGCTTAATATGCACTTGAAATACGATTTAATTTATCTTGACTTTTTAATTTAATTTTATATTAGATTTTTATTCAAATACATTAGTTGAGAAGTTAAAATATATATTTATCCAAACTTTCTTACTTGATAAGAAAATCTTAATTGAAATAAATTCAAGTTCATATATTATTAATATTTACTCGTATTTTAGGACAATTGTATTCAAGGACTGCAAATATAACGAAATCAAAAACAACCGAATCATTTAGTAATACTTTCATGTCCGTACGAATGATATTACTGTATAAAAAAAAAATGCAATTTTAAATAAATGAGGTGAAAAAGATAAAAATAACTCGATTGGATAGTCTATATATCATGTGCTGGTTATCAAACAAGATAGCTTTCATCTTTTTCTTATATGCTCTAGCATTATTTTATGAGAAGAATATATAAACTATCGTCTTCTTTCATTTTTTTTTTTTTTTTAAGTTCATGCGCATTATTGAAATCTTAAAGGGAACTTATTATTTATTTTCTATTTTTTAATATTTTAATGGAATACAAAAGAAGTATGCTGAAAATAATAATAAACTCTTGTCTTAATTGTAATAAATATTGAGAATTTTGACAAATTTTAATATTATAATATTTTTTACAAGAAATTATCTATAATAAATGATTGTTCGTATTCAACGAGATTTTAATTGATGAATGGTTTTTATTAATGATTTTTAGCCATTAGTAAACAAATAGATAAAATTAATTGATTTGTTCAGTTATGACACTTAGTAGAATAATTACACTAAGCATAAGCTTCTCTTAACTAATGTAAATCGAAGCCTCGTTACATTATCTCGAAGGTATCTTCCTAAGAAATTATTAGTTCTAAGTTATAAAATCACTTAAATATTAAAATTCTTAAGCGTATTGTTTATTAACGTGTTTGCACTAAAACTGTACGTGTATTTAAGGACTGACATTGCTAAAAATAAAATTACTCGTGTATAGGTGATATTACACTATATCTACAATAATTATAAGAATAATTAATATAAATTTATAATATAATATAGACATTTAATGTATGCCAAATTTATTTTACAAATGACACTTTCAAAAGGTACTATATTTTTCACAAAGGAATAATAAATTCATTATCAAACCTCAAGCATAGGTTGTTTCGAATATTTGTGCTCACATTGTTAAAACCTAAATCGGCGCGGTAAGTAATTGAGATACGCGGTCTTACATAAAAAGCAGATTATGAATTCCAAATAAAAAAGAAATTACTTTTTCCTACAAGGTTATTAACTAAGAAAGAACCAATCGAATAATTGAAAATCTGTGACACGTGTACATGTACGAGTGTTCTCGAGTCTTACCTGAGCTCTGCCTTGAGGTCGAGCCAGAGCCAAAGGAACCTCCCTGCGAGCATCTCGTATTTGCCGGCGAGGGTGATGACCTTCCGCGCGCTGTTGAGATCACAGCCGAGAACGAGGACGCTCCCACGTCCGTTTTCCTCGGCGACGCGCCTCAGCCGCGCCGAGAGGGTTCGTTCGTCCGTTGGCAGGTAGATGATCTTCCGGGGCACGAGGCTACCGATGGGCCGCTTCTGTTGGGAGACGAGCTGCTGGACCGGTAGGAGGCTCGTGTCGATCAGCAAGGTGAACGCGTGCCAGTGGGCCTTGTGCATCAGGGCCGCCGCCGCCGCTCCCATCTCCTCGGAGCCCGTGCCCACGCGACTCTCAAGTGGACCCGGCCTACCCTGGGGATGAGATTCGATGGACCGCTTCTCACGGTATCTATCTGCTTCTTACTCGCGCCCTTACCTATTTGTCTATTTTACTGAGTGATGTTAATCTGAGCCGATCTTCGATTAATAATCGAGAGCTCCGAGGCTATTATTTCTTTATTTGATAATACGATCATTTTTAAGATCGAGGGAAGTTGCGTTCGAATGATAAGCGTTTGAATGATAAGGAAACTACGAATCTACTTTTATACATCTTGATAAATTATTCAAAACAGATTATTGTATTGTAGATTTCGAGCGGTGAAAAAAAGACACTTGGGCAGCGGATACATTAAGATAAGATTTTAAATAACTTTTTGTATCGATAAATCAGTAGTGGGAAGCTTGTTTTAGTAAAATTATCCACTCCTAAATTTCATGAGTCATTTTTACTTTTATTCAATGCCGTTATATCTTTTCATCATTAACATGATAGGCGACATAATTAATCCAATAAATTTTATATCAATAATACCTGATAATTAAGGATACATAAAATAATAACAATTATTCGGCATTAGAATAAGATCTTATCACTTCTGATTCATTTCGTCGTCGAATAGTTGTTTAAGTAATGACAAACTCTTCACTATAAAGCACTTTCTTTTAATTTCGATGTCGTTATTTCCAAAATACAATATTTATTTTTCACATACCATGTAACGCATACGTATTATAATTAATTTATTTTATTAATTTCGTGTTAAAAATATCTTATACATTCATTAATATAAATGATTAAATAAGTATTTATATGTAAATACTTTAATACATGTATTCGAATATGAAAATTTAATTAATTTATTTATTATTAATTAGATTCATTATATAATCAAATTAATAATAAGTAATAAGTTTGAAAATAAATTTTTCATTACTTACTTGAAACTATTTGATGCAATTGATTTTATTTACCGCAAATGCATAATTTTAGCATATAATAGCAAATATAAATATCAACTAGCACATTATTAGTGCAAATGAAACTAATAATTCATCGAAAATTCTATTCGTAATTTTAATGTTATGAAATGTAAACGATGTGTATGATGAAAAGTATTAATAAAATAAAGATTCTTAACATTTTATAAAACCACTGCACTTGCATAAGTATAATTATAATTTATATTTAATTAGTGATTTCATAATAGCTATTTTTAATTGTATAGTCATGTAAGCTAAATACATTATACACAATAAGAAAATGCATTAAAATTTATAAACCGATATAATAAACACAATTGCACAACTACATGTAATATTTTGTAAAAACACATTGTAATTAATTACTTAAACAATAAAAGCAGAAGACTAACAATATTACCGAAAGAGTACATTTATCTGGATATTGCAATTGAATTATCGTTAAGAATATTGAATGCAAAAAGTTAACGAATTATCTCAAATTAATATCCATAAAACATAATCTCCGTATTTGATAAGTGAAACCGGCTATTTGAAAGTGTTATGCTGAAAACTCGTAATTAAATAAATACAATTTCCACGTACAAACTAATCGAAAATGGAAATAGTATTTTATGATAAAGATTCTTGATGTTAAACTTAAAGAAAATGGAACGAGTAACGGCTAGAATGTTAGAAACTTTTATGAAATGAATTTCTGGAACTTTCAGTATGGGCTAGTGCAAATTGTCAGCTTATGTTAGTTTGTATATTATTCTTGAAAGAATCAACAATGTAAGACGATAGTGCACGAGTCGCGAATTAGTATTTTTACATTTGTGACAATTTGCACGTTGTTCGTGCGATGTCACAAGCTCATCGATGTATTTCAATCGGTGTTTTTAGACGATGAATTGCATTTTATAAAATTTCAAATATTATACATAAAAATGATCTAATATTTCATACGCAAATCCTCCAATTACTTCTACAAAATTTAATCGCAATAAATAATATTGTCAGTAGAGTAAACTTTTTATTGAAAATACACTCTATATCACAAATATTACGAAATGATTTAAATAAAAGTACTTATGAGATAATATTAAATTAGTGAAATTTCATTTTAATGTTATAAAAATAGAATTATATTTAATAATAATATCATTTAATAATACAAGAAATTAATTGATTTCTATTACATATTTTCACGTGCGGTTACTTTTAAAATATATGCTTTCATTACCTTTTAGAACAAATGAAATTACTTTGCAAAAATAATGCTAATTATATATTGCGCTATAATATTTGAAAATCCATAGATAAAAATATTTTATCCAACATACTAAAAACTAGAACTATTTATATCATTTTTATATAATCTATTAATGTTTAACATAGGTATTAAAATAACAATGTATTTGTACGAGATTTCACTTAGAAATATCATTCGGCACTATGTTTATAGTCAAAAGTTTTATTTATTTTTTTTTTTCGAGCAATTCTTTATAAATTAAAAGCTTCGACAAATTCCATTCAATTCCTTAAAAAACAATTTTGATTGAATTTAGTGACATCTGCTCACATGCAAGTATTGTATTAATTTTCTTTAAAAACAAGTCAATTTTTTGTATGAAATATTTTTTGAAAATATATATTATGTTATATTACTGAAATAAATTAATCAATAATAGAGACATTTTTATTGAAAATCAAATAGGAAAATTCACATCTACTTATCTTTCATACAAGTGCATCAATAATAATGTCTTATAGACAGATGAAATTTAATAAACCATTTATTAACCAGCATAATTATATTACTTATACTAAATTATATTTTCATTTAATAGATTTCATACAAGCGTCACGATAAATGTATTTTCTGTGAAAAAAGAAATCTGTGAAGCAGAATGATGGAAGAAAAATGAGAAGAAAGAAAACATAATATAAATGCATTAAGTGTTTAACTTAAAATATCTATTTTTAAAAATATACTATAAATTTAACCATAATAATTGTTATATGGTATGTAATTTAACATGAAAAACTTCAAATGGAAGTAAAAAATATTATAAATTTTCAGAAAAAAAAAAAAAAAATCGTATAGACCAAAGCATAGAAGACAAATAGTTCAAATAACAATATTAATCATACGTATTATAGGGAAGTAGCTTTAATAAATTAATCCGATACTAATGATAAGATGATAAATGATATTAAAGATCTATTCAAGTTTATTTTTCTTCGAAAAATAATTGAATTTAGAATACGATCAAATTAACAACAAATTATTCGGTTATTTAAGATTCTAAAATAAAAATAGATAAAAATAACAATATATCTTAAAATAAAATGTATTGTTGTTCGGGATTGATTCAATCCCATGAATTTCAAACAAAAGAAAGGTAATACGCGCTGTCCGGCGTACCGTATGTGCGCCTAGACTGGCCCGCACGTGCGGACCGGGACGGGTACTCGAGCGAATATTTACAAACAAAACTCGGCAAGTCCGAGCAAGTTTACGACCCGAAATATAATATACTGTAAGATCATCCAAGGGTATTATTACTCCTACTTTCCTCTTTTTTCTCGAAGATTCTAGGATTTTTCCTTCGACGCCTCGTGTAAGAATTAGTGCAACAACGACGATGCTTTGTTGCCAGCTAAGTGAGCCGCCACGTGGCTATATAAGGAACGCACGCGGCGCGTCTCGACCTCTCTTGCTGAAAGTACCTCTCTTGCTGAAAATCATCTCTTGCCGAACCACCCTCGCTCAACTGCGCTTCCGGCCAACATCTTGCCGTGACCCGACCGCAGTGACCGAGCATAGTCAACCGATTCAATCATCTACCACCAGAAGTCACACGCACACGGGTCTCGATCTGCCCTCAGCAGGACCGCCATGGAACGGTCGGTATTTTCAGCAGAGCCGCCACGGAACGAACGATCAAGCCTTCGGTTCGTGTGCGTATATTATGTCAAAAGGCTCATTTGTAATATCACTTCGCGCTCACTCAAGCATAACTGCCGCTCAGTGCAATAGTGTTTTGTATAATGTGAAGACGACGCGTGGCCATATTTTCCGCATCATAGTTAAAATTACGCGCGTGCGTACGAATAAGAAATCAGCAGATTAGATCATAGTAAAGACTACAAGCGCGCATAAGAAAAGGAAATCGGCAGTTTTTAAATAGTGATTACAGTGAAGCCAATGGAATAGTAATCAAAGGAAACATTAATCACACAGCAGTAAAGCAGACTTTACCAACATTTTACAAGGGTACATATTTTTATATTAATAAATAAACTAGTCACATCTAGCATAAGAAACCTAGGCAATTTCGCATCCCCTGACGCAGTCGACAGGTGATGGACACTTGGTTGTGCATTCTCTAAAATAAACACCAAGTAATTAGCACGTGATCGTGCATGCCTGAAATAGTCACTCGGTGACGAGCGCGTGGTCGCGCATTCCTTCTAATAGTAACCAGGTGATGAGCGCGTGGTCGCGCATTCTCTAAATAGTCAACTCAATGACACAGTAAGTCAAGGTCGGACTTCAATATATCGACTGATCAACAGTAAGGACATTTTCCAGAAATCCTGAAGATTTCTAAGGTTTATAATCAATGATACTTGTGTGTGACTAGCTCTTCTACCGTTCCCATAAATAAATAAAGTAACATATTTATTCCATTAAACATCTTACACCATATCAAGCATAGTTATTCATACATCAAACATAATTGATTCAACTACCATATTATCTTCTCATGCTACTCTTCACAAGCATGATTGACTGATGACTACAACAGCTGATATTTACAACATCGGCATTACCAACAACTTCAAGATACTCATTCAGTCATATCCATCGAAGAAGCTACAATAATTCAAGAATACAAAAACACACCCTCACTACTTCAATAGAATTATTTCTCTCTACATCAAAGTTCAATATTATTATAATTATTTACAAATAATAAACATTGTTTTTACTAAATACACGATATTTTTCAGCCTTGTCTGTTATTGTTTCCTTTTAAGTTATCCTGCCTAATCTAGAC